GTTTAAACATTCAGTGTGAGAAGTTAGTAGTTCTCCCTCTTGAGGGAAAGTGTTTCAGTGATTACCTGCAGCAAGACAGACTATAGAGGTCTGGACATAAAATGTGAACAGATAGAAAACAAAAAGCACACCCAGCAGAGACCTATATACTAATAAATATAGACACGAGATGTAACGTTTCTTATAAAACAAACATTGCACAAAGATTTACTAATAAAAACAAAATAAGAATGGTAACATATAACTTACTTATCATACATTTATTGTCTATAAAATAATTTAAAATGATTTCTACACTTTATACAGTTCTTAGATGGTCTTTCATACTAGTATATATACACTGGTCATTTTAATGGCGAAATTTACACATTCAACCCCATTTAAAATTGTCAAGAAGAAATTAATCCAGAAGTGAACGCAGCTCTCTTTCCAGTGCATCGGGTGGGACGGTAGAAGCACGTCGCGCACCTTTCGGCACGCTGGAGCACTGCCGGGTTGCCTTTTGCACGGCGCCAGTGGGGCCGGAGCGCGCGGGGCTCGTCATTGGCGACAGTAATAGAAGATTCGCAAGAGCATAGCGTCTCTTCAGCATCGCCCCTAGAGCAAAGACGTTACTCGTTCAACGAGTATGGCGCGGCAGCGAGCATCAACCGTTTGGCGTGTCCTGTCGGAAAAAGACGGGGAAAGTACGGTATACGAAGGGGAAGAAAAGTCAACTAAAATACATGTACCGGGTGATTCAGAGAAGACGCAGGTTCGGGTGGGTTGGCCTACCCGCTGCCCGTAAGGCGCCATAGCCCCTTGGGTAGGCAAACCCGCCCGCACCTGCATCTTCTCTGAATCACCCGGTACACTTGAGAAATGTGCGTTAAACGTTACCCGACGGTCCGTCGTGGCAGCGGGTGATGGAGCTGTCGGCGTCGGCGCGGGGTACTTGACGGTCCGCACGGGCGCCTGGCACCGGGACCCCGCGAAGCCGCGACGGCAGAAGCAGGCCGAGCGGCTGTCCAGGAGGACGCAGCGGCCGCCGTGCAGGCAGGTGCCTCGGCAGAGCAGGCGCTCACAGCGCTCCCCTGGAACACAGCAGCAGGCG